CAAGTTATGGGGAAGTGTGGTCATGCTTAAAGATAGGCTGCAGATACAGGTGAACCTAGACAGGCTTGCAAATTGGGCAGACCAGAACCAGTTGAAGATCAACGCTGATGTTAAGTGCTCCACCTGGGGATGAACAATTCCCTGCACACCTACAGGCTTGGAAACGCCAACCTGACCAGCACAATGAATCCCCACTCTGCTCCAGGGTGCCCAGCTCCACTGTGTCCCTCTCTTCCCAGGTGACAGACATGATGCAGAAAGCTCTTTTTGACTTCCTGAAGCATCGCTTTGATGGCAGGTGAGGGATATCTCAGGCAGACAACTTAAGCCATGAGAGCATTGGTTGGGTCTGTGGCTCTCAGGCTTAGAAACTGGGTGTTGGGGGCATGCAAATAGGATGTGGAGGTTAACCCTGTCTATCATGCCTTCTTTCTCCCAAGTCACACTCGGAATCAGGACTGGAGAACACTGTGGTGGAGTAGGGGCTGGAGGTGGTGCACCTTCTGACTACTCTGTCCTGTCCTACTGGAGGTTGGGCTCCAGTTCCCAAACCTGTGGGCACAGTTGGACCCAATTCTTCTCCCCTGGATATCTAGAGACTACTGGTTCACTTAAATCCATGTTTCCTGGGGCAGCCCCGTGCCCAACAGCCATGGTGACAGGCTCCCTGAGAGACAATAAAATGAGAACCCAGTGCAGTGGGTCACATGCTCTTCCCCCAGCTGGAAATAGGATGCCACCTTCCAGGCAGAGACAACTCTTCGCCGTCCCTCACCCTTTCCAACTGAGGGCCTCATGGGCATACTGCAGGCAGGAGTGGAATCCCCCTGGCAGTATCCTGAAACTCATTTTGCAGGTGGAGAACCTGAGGCACAGCAACAAGGAGGCAGCTCACTCAAAATGGAGCCCCCACTGCCATTTTGCAATGCAGGACACTGAATACAAGAGATGCTGTGGCATTTTAATTAGAGTAGCTCCTGAGACCTGCTTTAATTAAAACGTGCCCCACCTCAACCCCAGAGCATGTGTATAGGCACTCCAGGAGTCCTGTTCTCTTGCTGCCTTTCCTATATGAAACAGGCAGCAGGAAGCAGTGCGGATGTGCAAGGGGAGGGCTGGAAAGAGAGTTCCCTTCATAGGTGACTGGGATTTGCATCCCCAGCTCTGGGCTACTGTAGAGTCACCTTATACAACCTCTAAGCAAGGGTCCCAGCTGTTAGGGGCAATGGCTGACCACCCATGCTCTCTCTTTCTGTCTCTCCTTTTCACACTCTCATTCCTCTCTCCTACACACACCCCTTCACCCCCCTCCATGTGCCTCCCAGGATCTCCATCACGCGGGTGACAGCCGACATCTCCCTGGCCAAGCGCTCCGTGCTGAATAACCCCAGCAAACACACCATCATCGAACGCTCCAGCACACGCTCCAGCCTGGGTAAGACAGGGGTGACTCCTGGGAGGGTGGGGAGGGAAGAGCCATGGATCTAACCCTTCCCACCCACCTCCCCCCTGCATGGTTATTTTGGAGGATGGTGTAGCATTAACCTCAGTTGCTTGGCCACTGGCATTGCTCTGAGGGCTTAAACCTTCAAAGCCTGCCTGCCTCCGATCTGTATCAGTTGGGAGCCACCTGCTTCCTCCTTTGCCCACCCCTGGAATTCCCACAATGCCTTGGGGCATGCCCCCCACCTCATGCCCTGTTGGCAAGGAACTCCTCACGCATGCTCCCCTCTTTGCCCACCCCTGCCCCTGGGCCAGGCCTTCCAGCTGTGCTCTTGCCTGCTTGTGCTGGGCTGAAAGAGGGACTGACCTAGAGATGCCACTTCCTTGGCATTGCTCATCCCCCTAGGCATGCTGGGATGCTTGGCAACACCAGGGCAGGCTCCCTCAGTGCACATTAGGATGTGATATGCCTGGACTGCCCCCCTTCCAGCAGAGCTGGGAAGAGGTGGGGGTTGTGTGCCTCATGGTAAACAATGCCATTTTTGCTGCCGTGCAGAAGGGGTGACTAATATGACTTGCTGACCTGCTGCTCCTGTGAGCCTGGCTGGGCGGGGGCAGGAGTCTGCTGCTCCGATGCCTGGGACCATCTTTGCTGCTGACAGTCCATTCAATTCACTCCTCTTTTTCCCCCCTCCCTTTCTTTTCTTTATTTTTCCTTTTATTTTTTTTCCTCCCCTCCGCGTGGCTTCCTTCCTTCCCTGCTCCTGATACAGATGTCTTGGGTATGTAGCCTTAACCTCTCGGGCACAGCACTCTAACCCTGTATGGGAGCCATTGCCAGCCACAGCATGGCAGGGACCGATGGGTAATACCCACTTCCCTAGCCACTGGAGAGTGAGATCTCAACCTGCTCCTTTCCCCTTCTCTTCTGGGATCTTCTTAGAGCACATAGCTGCTGGCAGTCAGTATCCCACAAACTCAGGGCAGCCAGAGCTGGAGTCTTGCTCCTTCCATGTGGCCCAGAGCCTGGGTGCTGGAAGGCAGCTGTCCCTTCCCTGTGGTCCTTCTGGTCTTGAAGACCAGGACTGATCTGAGGCTCTAGGATTAGAGACGAGCCCAATATGCTCAACCCAGGTACAGATGCCCCAGGGTCTGGGTTTTGGTTTGTCCCCTGCTGTGGTTCCTCCCCATCTCCTGCTCTATATAGCAGTGCACTTCCCCTGCCCAGGGATACCCAATAGACACAGGTCAGGTCTGTGTTCTCCAGGTCTCCCCTATTGCCCAGCCTGTGGCATAACTGGTGCAGTATCCTGGCTGTGGTGGGACTATTCCCAGCAATGGTGACACAGGAGCCACGTCTCACCAGCCAGGAAGGGGAGATGATGCTGCTGCATGGAAACCCAGGTGTCTCCCTCTGTGTCTAGGTGACACCACTGCCTTTGCCTTTGGGGAACATGGCCCCCAGTCCCTGGCTTCATGACTAGCCCCTACAACTGTCCCCCTCCATCTCTCCCTATACCCTCCCCATGGTCCCTGCCCCAACCCGTTATCATACCTGGCTCTTCCAAATTGCTCCCCCCCTACACACACATTGTACCTATTTCCTCCACCTCTCCATACTCTCCCCAACCTTTGTCCTGCTCCCCCCCAGCCCACTTCCAAGCTTCTCACTGTGTCTCTGCTCTGACAGCTGAGGTGCAGAGTGAGATTGAGCGCATTTTCGAACTGGCCCGGACCCTGCAGCTTGTGGCTCTTGATGCAGACACCATCAACCACCCAGCCCAGCTAGCCAAGACCTCACTGGCCCCCATCATTGTGTACATCAAGATCACCTCCCCTAAGGTGAGTGTGTTCCTCCCTGTGGGGCATGGAGCTGTGAGGCCCAGGACTCAGTGCACAGTGCCATTGGAATATGCACTTGCAGCCCCCAAACTGATGATGAGAAGCCTTGAAAATTAAGAGCTGGTCAGTATTGGAGCTGCTAATATCAGCACCCACAGCTGCTGTGTGGGTAATGAGAATTGTCTTCACCCCTGTGGTATGAGCAACTTTGACATGGATAAGTTACCATCCACTTCAGGGCTTCTGATGACGGGTCCTGGACTGGGCCTTTTCTTCATTGTGCCTGACACAGTTAAAGGCACTCCAATTAGTTACAAAGCTGTCAGTCTCAGTTACAGTGAGTGGGCCACTGGTTCTCAACCTCTTAGACTCAAAGCAGTCCTTGGAAAATGCCAGCTCTTCACTTTCACTTGGTTTGTGCCTATGAAACAATAATAGATCAGCTGTTCTGTTGTAAAGAACTCAGGAAGCCCACAGCAGGTCCAAATGGT